ACATAAAGAATATCATAAACTAATGAACAAAAATAGATACAGAGACAAAGAAGCATTGAACAGACTGTCAAACTTCAGCAGAAAGACAGGTGAGGGTTGGGGTGGGCATGGGGGAGGGGGTAAGAGATCAACCAAAGGACTTGTATGCATGCATATAAGCATAACCAATGGACACAAGACATTGGGGGGTAGGGGAGGCCAGGTGTAGGTCAAGGGGAGGGGAAAAAAGGAGATATATGTAATACTCTTTGTAATACTTTAAGCAATAAAACAAAATTTTAAAAAAAGGGAACCCACTGTACGGGAGAACATATTTGCCAATGATACATCTGATAAGGGGTTAATTTCCAAAATATATAAACTACTCATAACAACAACAAAAGTAAGACAAACAATCCAATTGAAAAATGGGCAGAAGAACTGAATAGACACTTCTACAAAGAGTGCATACAGATGGCTAAGAAACATATGAAAAAATACTCAACATCACTAATTATCAGAGAGATGCAAATTAAAACTAGAATGAGGTATCACCTCACACCTGCCAGACTGGCTATCGTCACCAAATCAACAAACAACATGCGCTAGCAAAATGTGAATAAAAGGAACCTTAGTACACTCCTGGTGGGAATGCAGATTATAGAACTACTATGGAAAACAGTGTGGAGTTTCCTCAAAAAATTAAAAATGAAACTATTATTTAATCCAGTGATCCCACTCCTGGGAATATATGCTAAGAAGCCAGAAACACCAATCAGAAAGAAAATATGTACCCCTCAATTCATAGCAACACAGTTTACAATAGCTAAAATTTGGGAACAGCCCAAGGTCCCATCAATAGATGAGTGGATTTAAAAACTGTGGTACATTTGCACTGGAATATTATGCAGCTATAAAAGAGAAGGATCTCTTACCCTTTGAGACAGCATGAAGAGACCTGGAGAGTATTATGCTGAGTGAAATAAGGCAGTCAGAGAAAGACAAGCATCACATGACCTCACCTATATGTGGAAGCTAGTGAACAAAATGAAGTAACAAACAAAAAAGATCCAGAGACATTGAAACGTGCAACAGACTGATCTATTTCAGAGGGAGCGGGGGAGTGGGAAGAGATTAACCAATGAATTTACATGCATATTTGCATAGCCCATGAATAGACAATGGTGCAGGAAAGGCCTGGGGATAGGGCAGGAGCAGACAGAAGGGGGTTGGTGTAGAGGTATTGGGGGTTGGGGGGAGGGAAGAGGGCATTGGTAATACTTTCAACAATAAAGATAATGTTTTTTTAAAAAAATAAAATAAATAGAAAATAAACATAATAGAAAAATTTTAAAAATCTGAAACTTTGTTCTTTATAAATAAATAAAAATGAAAACTCCAAAAATTACTGATCATAAATAAATAGGGAAAAAAACCCTCAAAATTAGCAACATTGAAAATTTTAAAAATGGGCTATCTCTACTGATTCCACCGAAATCAATAGGATAGTGAAGGAAGGAAGGATATTATGAATAACTGGCCAATGCATCTAATTAATTAGAGAAATGTACACATTTCATCACAAAGAAAAAGAGAATATCTGAATATTTTTAAAAATTATATTCATAAGAAAAAAATCCAATTCTCTCAAAGAGAAAATTCTAAGTCTAAATTGCTCCATTTCTAAATTATAAGAAACATAAATAATTATTTAAATCATAGTAACTCTTTCAAAGAATAGAGAAAGGGACAATATTTCCCAATTTCTTTTCCAAAACCATCATCTATTTGATAAAAAATTTGACAATATATGAGAATAAAAATTACAGACAGATATTTCTTATGTATATCGATGCAAAAATCCTAAACAAAATGCTGCTAAATCAATCCAGTAAAAGTTAAAAAGGATAACACATCATAACCAAATAAGGTATATTCCAGGAATACAGGTATGTTTCAACACTGGGAAAACACTAATTTTAATTTATAATATTAACAGAAAATAGAGAAAACTATATGGTCATTTCAATTTATAAAATTCAATATCCATGGTAGGATACATATAGAAATTACAGCAAATTGATAAAAAGGTAAATTTCTGAATATAAATCTGTATCTATAAAAACCCATTGAAAATAGGCCCTAGCATAGAAGACATTTGCAATTTTTATGTTCAACAAAGGACTCATATCTAGAACACATTTATTTTACATATAATTAGAAAGAGACAAGGCCACTCAATTTAAAAATGGACCAACGTCTCAAATAGGCATGTTCAAAAGAAGAGTTATAAATGGTCAATAAACATATAAAACTGTGTTATTGTTAACTTAATAATTAACAATTAACTTAATTAACAATTATGAAATGCAAATTAAAACCAAAATGCAGGACATCTATAGGTCCACCAACATGAATAAAATGAAAAATAACAACAAACAAAAAACTACAGGCATTGATGTAAAGTGTAATTCTCAGCATGTAAAACACTTTGGAAGTATCCTCTAAGATCACACTCTGTGATCAGGCAACTTCACTTTAGTAATGTACTCAGTGAAAATTCATATGTTCACCCTATGACTTGTATAAGAAAGAAAATAACCAACTATGGTTTTTAATAGCCACAACTATAAGTGAACCATATTTTAACAATAAAATGGAAAAACAGGCAGTGTTATATTCATTCAATGTGTAATAGCGCCAACAAAACAAACAAACAAACAAAAAAAAACTTTTGGTATTTACAACATGTTTGGAAATTATAGTCATTATAATACAAGAACTCAAACATAAAAGAGCACATGGTGATTTCTTCCATTTCTTATGGAATTCCAAAACAGACAAAACAAATCTATTCTGTTAGAAGTAATGATTGTCAGAGGGCAATTTGGGGGCATTGGTGGCTCTACATTTTATTATTTAATCTAAGTAGGTGCTAATTACACCTATTTATTCACTTGAATATCAGTGGAGCAGTGCGCCTGTGATTTGTGGAAAATAATACATGTATGTATAACTTCAGTTCACTTAAGAAGTGTATATGACTCTTCCTGTTCATTAGCTGTTTCTACCATCTGTAAGTATTCTGCTGGGTTTTCTGTTTGTTTGTTTTTTGCCCCCCAAAGAGGCGTCAAAATGAGTCAAAGCCTCCTACTGCATAGATTCAGGGGCCAAGACCGCCCACAGCTCAGCTCACAGCGTGTTCGCTCCCCACCCATCTTTACTTCGCAGGGTTCTCCTCGCGCTCCCAACCGCCTTTTGCCAAGGCAACTGCCATTATTGGGGTTGGGATACCGGACATCGAGCCATGCTGAGGTTTCTGTTTCTGCTCTTTGGGCTCATCGGGCTCCACACAGACAGTAGTGGTACGTGCGTGACCCCCTCAGCCCGCCCCTCTTTGACTTGCCAGGCATGTCAGCTTTCCTCTGAGAGGCTGGCTATCTCTGGGAAAATGCTTTGTTGTGGGAGCTGCAGCTCTGTGAGCACCGGTCCACTCCTGCATTGCCACCTTCCCCAGACAACAGCCCCATTGTTCGCCAGGGGGCTTTCCCACTCATCTTGGGACCATGCGGGGCGGGGGAGGGGAGGGGGGCCGGGAGATGCCATGCATGGCTTGAGTGGATGCCTCACGATTAGTGTTTTATAAACTGCTCTGCATTTTTTACCCCTGGACATTGTCATTGGAAGGTCAAAAGGACCCAAGCTCTTATGTACTGAGATGCTTGCTCCTATTGCCTCAGAATTACTGTGAACCGCCCACAACTCCCAACACAATAAACCGCTTCCTCTGTACAAAGTCTTGTAATTCCAGAAAGACTGTAGATTGAGGGTATTGAACAAGATAGCAAAAAGAAGTGGCGGTGTACAGACTATGATGACTTTAGAGGAGGAGATATGGGGCGTTGCGTGTTGCTTTAACAAAACATTTTGCATCTTACAGATTCTGAGCTACTACTACCTGTTCAAATTATAATTCCGGAGAAAAAACGGTCAACATCAAGAGATGGAGTTGAAACAAATGTAAGCAAGCACTATTCTTTCTTCAGAATCTAAAAACAATGCGATTATTTCATTCCTAAGAAGTAAATCTGGCATATTTTATCCATGCACACTTGCTGAATTTTATATGTATACCCAATTTTTCTTGACAAAAAAAAAAAAAAAACCTTTTGAAAATGAGCCAAGGTTAATAATGTTTCATAGACATATTGTGCAGTAATGCTTATTATCAAAGCCCGAAGGCCCATCTTCTAAATTTGTTTCCTCCTTGAGTGTTTGAACAATCACTGACCTGATCCATCCAGAGGTCCTTTCCTCACTCTCTCACTAGGTTAAATTTGGAGGAAATTGTTGTTGTTAAGTAAGCCTAAGGATTCCTTGCATGGGATGATGATCTTTTGATTTAATGAAGGGTTATGTGATGATTTTTTAAAAATTTTATTACAAATATGTTCATCATTAGGCTGTTATTTTATGCCATCTTAGTAGTTCTTGGTCCAATGTCATTTTTCTTTGAAATAATTAGATCTGTATCTCTTTTAATAATTTCTGGAATCATTTCTAAAGAAGTGAGAAGTGTTTTTGTATATATACCCAATCTTAATTTTCTTTCTAGTTGAGTCATAAATATTCTGGTAAGTTGAATGCAAATATTTCTTAGCAACTACCCACTTGTCACCCTAATGGAGATAATACAAGCTTAAAATATTCAATATAACATTTTAGAAAACATATTTATGAAAATTTTAAATTTAATTTATCTTTCATAGAAAAGGAGGTGAAGACATTTAGCAGTATTTTAACAGTTTTATTTTTATACAAAAATATATATGTAATTGTTTGGTTATATTAGAAAATATACACAGATGTATTAAGAGGGCGATATCTTAAATCAATCATTACTAGATTAAATATAAATAAAATTAGATTGGCAGAAAAAAAATCACTTTTCTGCAACTGTCAAATTCATGAGGAACAAAATTTAACTATTTTGTTAATGTCTCTATCCCATGTTTAGAACAGTGCTGAATACATAGTAAGGGATTTGTAGTATTTTTTGAACCAATAAGGCTTATTGACCCAACAAATGCTACAAATAATATGAAACAGAGTATGTTTATAAGTATTATCTATATTAATAAAAGGGTAATATGCTAATTAGACTGGATAGACTGGACGTCTTCTGGGTGTCATTCCAAATGTCCTTCATGACAAAGCTGGGGCCCAGGTGCCTGTGGCTGGCCAGAGGGAGGGAAGCATGGGTCCCGGGTACAGGGGCCTAGGCAGAGGCGGTTAGGGATGATCAGGGAGGAAGGCAACCATTAGTGGTGATCAGGCAAGCAGGTAGAGGTGGTTAGGGCCAATCAGGCAGGCAGGCAAGCAGTTAGGGGCATCAGGCAGGCAGGGGAACAGTTAGGGGTGATTAGGCAGGCAGGCAGAGTGGATAGGGGAGACCAGGCAGGCAGGAAGGAGAGTGGTTATGAGCCAGCGGTCCTGCATTGTGAGGGTGTGCAGGCTGAGGGACCCTACCCCCTTCCCCCCCAATTCTTGGTCAGGTCACATGCCCAGGTTTCAGGCTGGATCCCCAATGTGGAGCACACAGGAGGGCAGCCAATCAATGATTCTCTTTCAT